CCCCCCCCCCACACACACACATTTTTTCTGGTCGAGCATCCAACAGTGACTACGAATTACGACTTGTAAATTGTGTTGAAGATGACAATTAAAATTATTTAAAAGGTTGCGCAGTTACGGTATTTTAATTTACCCAAGTTACCAATCGGTCAAATCACTTTTGTCAAAAATGGCACTGGGTTTTCATAGCTGCAAAATGAGTCGTACAAACTACTACAGTTAGAGCCATGCTACCATGGTAAGGAATTGTTTCAGGTCAGTGTTAATACCTATGATGTAGAAATCCCTTCATCAATTTACCTTACCAATACCTAAAGTACATGTTTGATGTAAGAAAAAAGACAACCTTTTTGTTGCCCTGAATTGAAAATACCTGACAGATTTACCTTACTGTTATCTGCACAGGAAATTGCCTTGCAGATACATGTGTGATGTTTGTTCTCCCCCTTCATCTAGAAATTCCTTCATCAATTACCTTACAGATACCCGTGATGTAGAAATACCTTCATCAATTACCTTACAGATACCTGCGATGTAAAAATTCCTTCATCAATTACCTTACAGATACATTGTTCCTGTGATGTAGATATTCCTTCATCAATTACCTTGCAGATACCTGCGATGTAAAAATTCCTTCATCAATTACTTTACAGATACCTGTGATGAAGATATTCCTTCATCAATTACCTTACAGATACATTGTTCCTGTGATGTAGAAATGCATTCATCAATTACCTTATAGATACCTGCTATGTAAAAATTACTTAATCAATTACCTTGCAGATACATTGTTCCTGTGATGTAGAAATCCTTCATCAATTACCTTACAGATACATTGTTCCTGTGATTTAGAAATTCCTTCATCAATTACCTTACTCAATACTGATTCCTGTTATATGAACACTTGTAGTTGAATCATTTGAGGATTACATGTTTAAAAGTTCCATGATCCAAAGGTAAAGGTCACAGCAAAGTGTCAATGTCAAATTATTGTTAAAATTGTCCGGACAAAAGCATTTTAGTTGACACAAAATTTATTCGATTTAAAGATTTTGCATTGCATCACGATAAATATCATGTATTGTTTAAGAAATGCTGTTTTTCAATTTTAGGCCTCCCCTGTCAGAGGCAAGGCCAAGAAATCCAGGAAGGTGTAAATTCCTACTGACCTTAGTACCAACAGGGACCTTCAGGATAGATTCCAGTACTGTGTTGTATTGGTACTGCCCGTGTGAACATTGTGGTGCGATATACCAGGACAGGAAGTGAAGAATAGTGCTCAGTAATCATGTAGCTGTTGAAGAAGCTTGTAAATGTGGAAAAAAATCCAATGTTTTCAAACATTTCATTAAACATTTTCAACCACAGTTTTGTTTTTGTTATTTTTCCAGTAACTCTGTAACTTGGAATGTGCGTATTATTTTAGCTCGCCTTACTGAAGGCAGGGGGCTTATGTCTTGCTGCAGCATCCATTCATTTACTGAAAAGACTTCTCATTCAAAACCCAAAAGCCAAGAGTCTTGATATTTGGCCGATGGGTACCTGTGTTAGAGTGCGTATTAAGGCATGCTATGACAGAGGTTGAATGTCAATGGGCTACTCTAGGCGTAAAAACATGAAAAATCAATTTAGATGTATGATGAGACGACGGTTCTGATATTTGGCCAGTAGGTATCTTTTGATTAAGTACTACAAAGTTTCCTAGTACACAAGACATTTATCTACTATCAAGGGCACAGGGGTCAATGTTGAGTATATCGAGTACCATTTAAGGTCTTGGAGTCGTAGTCAGATGACTACATGATGATTTACCGTCGTGATTAGACCCAGGAGATGAACAAAAAACCAAAAAACAACATGAATACACGTAGGATTAATATAGATCTTTTGATGGTGGACGGCAAGCTTCAACGGTGGTCTCAATTGTTTTCATCATATGGCACTGATTTACTGAGGATCTAATCGGGACCAGTTACATATCTACGATGTGCTGTAATAACCATAACATCGATTGTTTCTACAACTTATTTCCTTGGGCGACGTAGATGTGGATGCTTCATTTACTAGTGTACATAACATTTAGGTGCCGCATGACATGTGGCTGGTGTTGTCGATGATAAAACCGACGACGTCTATATATCCTAAATGATCACCTAGACCTTGAGCTTTCATCTGTTCATATTTTTCCCCAACTTCTGAGACCACTATTCGTCCCGTTTATTCATCAGCGTCATTTTAAGCTCGCATGCCATGGCGCGTCGTCCGATGTCAATATTTCACTTTAAACAACTACTTCTTGATAACCAAAAGGCCTAGGGGGATATTTGGCCAGAAGCAAACTGGTATGAAGGGCTACTAAGTTACTTCTAAATTACCTTGAGACCCAGAATGTTGATATTTGACCAGTATAGCATGCTTGGATGAAGGACTATAAAGATTGTTCAAATGAATGACCTTGACTTATAGTTAAGGTCACAGTGCATGGTCAAATAAGTTCAAAATGTTTTTAAACAACTTCTAATGAATAACCAGAAGGTCCAGAATGTTGATATCTGGCCAGTATCATACTAGGATGAAGGGCTACCAAGTGTGTTCAAATTAATTACCTTTGCCAATATTCAAGGTCACATAGGTCATATATATTCAAAACCTATAAACAACTTTTTTGAATAACCAAAAGGTCCAGGTCGAGGATATTTGGCCAGGAACATGCTGGCATAAAGGGCTTCAAAGTAGATATTTGACCAGTAGCATGCTTGGATGAAGGGCTATCGAGCTTTTTCCATTTGCATGACATTGACCCACTTTAAAGGTCACATTTGGTCAAATACATGTATGTATAAACATTTAAATGACATAATCTCAATAAACAAAATGTCTTGGTGATGATATTTTGCCGAGATGAAGGGCTATAAAGTTTGTTAAACATAATGACCTTGTTCGACTTTCAAGGTCACATGGGCAAAATGTTTTAACATCTTTCAACAGGTTCTTTTGAATGACTTGTAGACATACATGTTAATACTGATATTTTGCATGTATGTTTATTTAAGATGCCTTTTAAGATTACATGTGCTAGATTTATACCAGGTGAGCGATGCAGGCCCATTGGGCCTCCTGTTTATGAAATTATTCCCGATTTGGGGAAATGGGATACAGGGATTCAATGTTATACAAATGCTAAACGTTCAGATCGTGACAAGATATTATTGAAACAATTTGAAAATTAAGATGGGTCATCATCCTTATCTCCAATTGGTCTGATATTTTGGAGCGGTGAAAGGGTGGATGTTGATGTAGAATGTGATTCAACGGTACAGGAAGGCAGTCGGGTGGTTTGGAGGAAAAGTAAACTGAACTCGTGATGGAGGGACTGGTAGAAAAGTGTACGGGTTGCGTCCCCTTAATTGATGAAAACCAATTGCAATCCTGAGACTTGCCGTTAATGAATGCAATTGAAATCACTTTCATACAATGAGTGTTTTATCTGGCCGAGAAGCTATTTTACCAAAAGTGCCTTATTTCCAGGCCAAGAATACAGTTGCTAACATAATAAAAAATAACGTTGGGAAAGCACATTTTTTCAATGATGTACAAGATATTTATTTCTGTACACTGCTTACTGTATTATATATATGCAGGTTTCTGATCAATTATCACAGATTAACAACATATAATGAATTAATTTGCATATCGGACAAAATTAGTTTCGTGATACAATTTTTAATTAGTACCTAAAACATATTTATATGAACATTGATCAAACATTTGGCAATGTCAAAACGGTAATAATACAAGAGAGGGACGTATACATAAGGAGGTATAGAAACGCCATTCGTTTCATAAGCAGTATTGGGACTGAAGACTGTCTTCATTTACCATATTGATAAACAAACGTGACTTTTTTTTTACAGTAAAAACAAACAAATCTATCGCAAAAGGTAATTGGTTTATATGCTGTTCTGTATTAGTTGGCGGCTTGTGAAGTTCTGTTTATCGAATTCCTTTGATAGGATGTCCCGTTTTGTAATAAAACTATATCGGGTATAGTTTAGACGTAACTTGAAAAATAATTAAAGAACAAATCCTGATTTATGATTTGAGCGCCCCCTGGTGTTTGCTATCCATGTCATCAACTCATCTCCGATAACCCGTTTTTATCAGCAGCTAATTTTGACAGGTTCGATAAGAAATTGTATAAAGCTTTGACGTTATCAAGACTATGTCTAATATCTCGATACTACCCCACGGGGCTCTCATCTGTGTCAACACGGCTATCGATGTCCCTTGTAAAATTAGCAGCGATAATAACCAATATTCTTATCAATTAATGTACCGTTTGACTTCGTTTTTGGCTCGGGAATGTTAGGAATGGTTAAAATGTGGTACAACACCTACGTAGTGCGTCCATAGGTGGTCACGTGACTCCGTTAATGTACATTACAGGTGATTACATTGTCACGTATACGACCGTGACCTCTGACCTGCCTACATTCGTACACTATCAATTTAGATCCTTATGACTATGATTCAGTGACTTTTATCTTGTGATAATGTTCGACAATAATTATTTCCCATGATAGGATTTATAGGTCATTTCAGTTCAGGATCCCCATGTACATGTAATATACCTCTGCCAAACAAAATGTGAAAATGCTTTGGATGTTTTCCCCGGCATAACTATACAGCTTTGATAAATAATTTCTTAAAAGAAAACGATACGTTGCAGAATATTTCATGAAAGAAAAAGTCATTAAGATCAAATAAAATCCACAACAGTGTTCTTAGCTTAAAAAATGCAATGAGGCCATATCGGGATTCGAACCATGCTCGGCGACAGCATACTGGCCAGTAGTATCACTTCATGTCCAAAACAATGAACGAGATCTCTTAGTATTTGGATATAGTGAGGCAGGGTTCCTTAACTCAAATAAAAGCGCAACGATTATTTTTACAACGAGGTATCCTTAGAGAAGGAATAATGTGATGACTGCATACACGTATAACTGAAGTCATTACTTTGTCAATGCCTCCGCTAAGGAATCGAACCCGGGACCTCTGGTTTACTAGTCTTACGCTCTACCGAATGAGCTAAAGAGAAATTCTCCCTTGCCAAGACGGTAGGAAGCGGCTATTATTTTACCAGGGTTACCCATGTATTTGATATACTGAAAGAGTTTAAAACCAAATACTTTGACAGTCTATTTTCTTGTTCACAACGTAACCGTAAGAAGAATCGTGACTTATACAACTATCTAATAAAATAATCTATTTTGCCTGATGACATTACTTTCAAAAACATCCCTATTCTAAACTGCAGATATCGCCCTTAAACGACTACTTCATCTACTATGTACAGATATCTTAAATTAGCAAAGTGATGTTCATTTATAAACTAAACGAAAATGTTTTCAGAGCAAGTAATACACAATGCAGTATAAAAGTTTCCTGCGCCGTTTGTATAAGGATGTACTTTAGAGTTCAATGTCATTTGAATTTAAGTCGCAATATCGAACACATAGGCTCATCTTTCCCCTGAAATGCGTCTTCACCCATAACAGTAACGTGTCTGTATCCTACACTGTCACAAGTCTGTTCCCTGCATAGTAACGTGTCTATCCTGTGATGTCACGTGTCTGTACCCATCAATGTCATTTGTCTGTACATTGTTATTTCATATTTCTTAACCATGCAGTGTCATGTGTCTGTACCGTGCAGTGTCATGTGTCTGTACCCGGCAGTGCCATGTGTCTATACCCTGCAGTGTCATATGTCTGTACCCTGCAGTGTCATGTGTCTGTACCCTGCAGTGTCATGTGTCTGTACCCGGCAGTGTCATGTGTTTGTAAACGGCAGTGTCATGTGTCTGTACCCGGCAGTGTCATGTGTCTGTACCCTACAGTGTCATGTGTCTGTACCCTGCAGTGTCATGTATCTGTACCCTGCAGTGTCATGTGTCTGTACCCGGCATTGGCATGTGTCTGTACCCAGCAGTGTCATGTGTCTGTATCCGGCAGTGCCATGTGTCTGTACCCTGCAGTGTCATGTGTCTGTACACTGCAGTGTCATGTGTCTGTACCCTGCCGTGCCATGTGTCTGTACCCGGCAGTGTCATGTGTTTGTAAACGGCAGTGTCATGTGTCTGTACCCGGCATTGGCGTGTGTCTGTACCCAGCAGTGTCATGTGTCTGTACCCGGCATTGGCGTGTGTCTGTACCCAGCAGTGTCATGTGTCTGTACCCGGCCGTGTCATGTGTCTGTACCCTGCAGTGTCACGTGTCTGTATCCTGCAGTGTCATGTGTCTGTTCCCGGCCGTGTCATGTGTCTGTACCCTGCAGGGTCATGTGTCTGTACCCTACAGTGTCA